TCGCCCAGCCTGTTGCCCAGCCGAGTTGAATCCGTCGATTGACCTCTCGGTTGTAGTTAGACTTACCTAGTCGGACTATTTGTCCCAGATAAACATACTCATCAACAACGTTTTGCACTTAGTGCTCCCAATATCTACCAGCATGGGTGTGACTTGGGAGCTAATTTAATGTTTGCATTTAATTTAATTTAATGTGGCAAATTAAATGTGAGTGATATACCCGCCATTGATCTTAATACCGTATCCTTTCCAGTCCAGTAGCTTGTAAATGTCTTCCAATGCAGCGGTGAAGAGTTTCGGGGATATAACGTCACCCTGTCTTACACCTCTCTGCAATTGGATAGATTTCTTACTCTAATTCTGTACTCAAATAGCCATCGTAGCCCAACTGAACAAACACTTCAGCACTTCTATGTTACGACAGTCAACTTGGCACCGCTGAAGGGCCTGCAGCGCCGCCTAAATTTCGATGGAATCAAAGGATTTCTCGTAGCTCCACTGTAATTCTGTCCTCGCCCGGAGATTTGCCGTTTTAACGTCCTAGAGAGCCATTCTAATCTTGCTCAGACTGACGTCCGGGATATTATCGGAATAGTGTCGGATAAGACTTGCTCTTGGATCGTTACTCACACTTGCGGGTGGCTCCAACGATGAACATGTACAGCTATCTATAGAAGCTCTTAATGTCACTGAAAGTCTCAGGTGTCCCGGAAACGACGCTGCCACATTCGGTCTTCAGCTTCCACAGTTGGCTCTTTCTGGCAGCCAGATCTCTGACTAAAACTTTGGAGCCCTAATTTAGCTCGATCACTTCTTCAATACGAGCTGTATTAAAGTTGCGTAAGTCCCGCCATGCGGCGCATTTGCAGATCTGTCTGTTCAGTTGCCTATATGCTGTCAAATCTGTGAAAGATTGCAGCTTAATTTCCCGTCTAACAGCCATGTGATGATTAAGAGTGTGATCGGAGAGTTTTTGTGTTCTTCTCTGACGGGTCTTGCAGAATTTAGCTCCGACCGCATGGACAGCTTCTACGAGCTTGTCATATCGTCTACTTCATTGCAGTCTTCTAGGCACTGAAAACGATTTTGTAACTCGAGCTGAAAGTTTTCAGGGCTTTGGATTAGAACACGAGAAGGATGGAGCGTTGAATTCATCAGACGTGACCTCTCTAACTTAAAGTTTAGGTTCAGTGTGCCTCGTGCCTCAGTGATCGCTGCCAGTTTTCACCCTCGCGATCACTGAGTCATCACTGAACAGTTGTCGTCTGGTCGCCATAATGAAGTCAATCTCATTTTTTGTCGAACCTTCGGGCCTCGGGGATCCAGGTCCACTTTTTGTGGGGCTGCTGACGTGACGAGATATCTCTTTACAAACGTCTTGCTTTAGGACCCCACGACCCCAGCAATGTCGTACCACAGCGGGAGCGATGGAGCTCATTTGTTTTTAAATCTAACCTCAGGCTAATAGCAAAAGAGAAAGAAGTACTGTCCAAGAGTGTTCCGATATTCAATGAGAGCAGCGCATTCAATAGATCTGCAATGTTTCTACAGTTTTATAATAGGTTTTTCTGAACCTTGATACTAAGCAGCCGATCGCAAGTCTCTGCGAAGCTAGGTTTATCTTAATTATTATTTAGTAAGCCTTTCATCTTATATATTTTTTGAAGAACTGGAAGTGTTTTATGTAACTTTCTATATATAATATTTTAAAGGTCTCAAATTTGATCAATCATCATCCTGCTGCACCAGTCTTACATTAGAGTGCAAATGAGCGCATCTTCACCTTCAGTTTAGGGAATCATGTTAGCTCAGGTACTAAGCACTTGCCGTAAATATCGTGTGTCGAAACGAAATTCAATTGCAGTTGGCGCCAATGAAATTGTTACTTAATAGCAATTTTAAGTGCTGGTTTGAAAACGTGGTGCAAGTTTTATCTACAGATCATAATAAATCTGTAGAAAAGTCGTGTCTATTATTCTAGTCTTTCTTGGAAAAACAAGTAGGGACTAAATAAAAGATACTGAAGCCAAATTTGAGGTTTTCAGAATTTTTTATCCAAAGGAAAAAGTGGTACATTTTGCCTTCAGTTAGTAATAAATTAAATTATATAAATCTTTATATATAAAATTACGTGTCACATTCGCTGTCCGCTATGAACTCCTAAACTAGGTAGGTACTGGACTGATTTCAATGAAATTTGCACACTGTGTGCAGTTTGGTCCAACTTGAGAGATAGGATAGTTTCTATCTCAATAAGTAACTCTCAATATTTTTATTGCGAATTTAGGGATTTTTCATAGGATGAAGGGTCGGAAAGGGCAGAAAATCGTCGGCCTGGCCAGCTGGGAACTTATATTTATATGTAAATATATGTTATATTATAATGATTTATTAACAAATGTTTGAAAATTCTACATGTGTTTTAGCTTTTTCCTTATTTCATTTTAATAGTGTAATAATTTAAATAGTTAATAGTGATATCTATGAAAAATATAAAACATAATATGGTTTTTAGTTTAATTACTAATCTATAAATAAACTAACTAAAACTGGTATGTCTGAGATTATTGCAAAACTCTCAGTATTCTTAAAATTAAGTTAAAGAGATTTTTACACGTGTCTTGTAAAATTAATTTCTGTTAAAAATGGGCTATCAGCGCCGCTATCAGTGAATAATAAAACTGTTTTACGACATGACCAAATCATGAAACAGCAATGATGTGGTTAGTGGTTATTATTGTCAAATGATTTATATTCACAGATTTGGTTAAACCATATTAATAATAATAACTAGAATCTGGAAAATGAACAAAGTATACATTGTGCCGCTGGTGCTCTCCAGTACTGGTGTGATCCCGAAATGTTTGCCCCACTCCCTTAAACTATTAGATCTTCCTGAAAATAGTTATATTACCATGCAAAAAGCAGCCATCCTCAACACTTGTCGTATAGTCCGAAAATTTTTGCAAGAAGACACCTCAAATTTTGATTCCCAAAGGGACGCGCACTTGGCTAGGCCCGTGAGCATTTCTTAAATACCAAGATCTTAGAAAATCTTGAGAAAAAAAGGAGTAGAAAAGATAATAATAATAATAATAACCCCACCAGCTGGCTTGGTGTTGGCAGGGTCTTCGCGGGCCCAGCAATCAGCACCCGCCACTGGTGGAGTACGCCGCATGCGTTGGTCAATGCAGATGGGCAGCAACGCATTGCGGCCGTATTTTAGGGCGAAAGGGGGAGAAATTGGAGGTTTTGCGTATCGGGCTAGGATGCATCGACTTTTTGCTGAGCTGGAGCCATCTATAACCGTCACCGAGCAAAACCTGGCAGACCGAGTTCGGTATATCTTGCGCTCAAACATATTCGATAGCACCGAACTCGAACGGCTACGACGTGAGGCTGTACCCTCATCGGATGACTCGTTTTTATTATATATATACTCGGAATTTAAAAGAGTTAAAAAAATTGTAATCAATTTCTTACATTCCTTATATGTTTTGCTATAGATCTCTAGTTCTTTGTTCAATTTGTTATATAGTAAACTGGAGCGACTTGAGTATTGTTTACTGGCAAATGCAGTTTTGGTTTTATTATTATGATGTGGTCAACAAATAGTGTTAATTTTTTTTTAACGAAATGATCTTTGCTAACTTTACTTAAACCAGCTTGCCAAGCATGGCAACTATAGCAAATATGCCCCCTATGAGGCAATCTATGGGGGGTTTTTAAGTGCGGCGTAGTTATTTGGTTTTAGTGCTAAAATATATCTATTGTGTACTTAATGAGCACTAATAATCTCACGCTCACTAGATGTCGCTAGTTGAGACTAATGTAAACTCCTTTGTTACGCAGATGGTCACACAGTGTCATCATTATTAAAAAGTTGCGATAAGGATCCTAATTATAAATCCTAATGTACCTACAGATATGCACAAATATTAACATGTTATTACTCAAGTATTGTCATTGACCTAAATTTAATAGAGATTTTACCACAATGGGTTTAAGGGCAATATAATATAAAATCTTCATCAAATAAACAATGCTAGCCAAATAACGAAGTGTTTTCCACGGGCGTTATCATTTTTCGAAAATTGTGCTAAATCTGGGTTTGAAATTATCTGTAGGTACAGATAATTTCAAACCCAGATTTATTGTGAATCTGTAAAAAAAACTGTAACTATTTGTTCAAAAACACCTCTCGGTCAACAGACCACCGCGTAGTGGCTGTGTAAGAACATTCACTACCCCATATAATCCCGTGGGTCTCGTAAGAGGCGACAGAAGATAACAAATCAGGAGATGGGTAGCAGCATCTTCATAATAACGACTAAAAATAAAAATAAACTACTGTTGCCGACCCGCTTGCCATGCGTGGCAATTATGGAAAATATGTCCCCTATGAGGCAATCTATGGAGGAGCCCTTTGCTCGAGTGGACTTTAATAGGCTATAACGGTAAAATATTTCAAAAACGACATAATATTTAATTTTGAAGTGCGGTGGAAGTTAGTCGCGCGCACTTTGCAGTTCATGCCGTCATTTTTTGCCGTGAAGGCAGCAAGGAGGCGAAGAGGAATTGGACCACGTCAATTTAGGAATGTTATACATATCTATAGCTTTAAATTAAGGAACTGCTATGAAAATGGGTACCCGTTCAAATTCATCTCTTTTATCGCTGAAGCCGTCATAAGCCCGAGCGTCACTCGTACCGACCTCATGTATTCCGATTTTCTCATTTATATTTTAGCTAAAGTATAAACGCTTCTAACGCGACTTACTATGGGGGTTCAATTGAACACTACCGGCAGTACCTACTATCTGCTAAATGCTGAGTTACCTACATACCCTTTAAGTTAGTGTATTCTTATATTATATCATTTTACGTGTTTAAATTATATTAGTGAGGAAACCTATATCGTGTATAATTTTTTTTAAAATAGAACTGTATAAATATTTATTTTCCTAATGTTTAAATCATAAGTCAAAGTTTCCACTTACCAAAGTGTTATTATCTGTACTTTTGTCTTTTCCTTCTTGTAATGAAGCCATCATTACAGCCAACTCTTTGCCTGATGATACCAATTCATCGAAAGTTCCCATATTTTCAATGCCACCCTTGAAAACAATGAAATGTAAGAAAAATATGTTTGTGCCGGAAATACTCATAAGGAACACAAAAATATCTCAAAGACAAAAACAACGAAAATTCCTTAGGAAAAGGCCTGCAAAAACAAACCTCGTTTAGAACAATGATGTAGTCAGCTGCTTTAAGGAAATGTATTTGATGAGTGACTAGAATTCTTGTGCGTTGTCGTAAATAGCCATTGATGCAGCCTTCAAAAAGCTGGCGCCCCACATTGGCATCCACGGCAGACAGCGGATCGTCCAATAGATAAATATCGGCCTTCAAAAGAATTAAATAATTTAGACATTTAATAGAATAAGGAACTCATATTTACATACAACTTTGTAAGGATTACATACTTATTACATATTTGCTATGTGCAGACAGCTTGGCGCCTATTTTTCAATCATCAGAAAAGTTATTCGAAGTTTTTCGATCGGATAAAATACAACCAAAACAAATTAAAAGTTACAGTTGTATGAATAGAGTACTTTAACTGTTTCACATTTATTTTCAGCCAGTTTATTATTTATTTCATGGATAACTTTTATATGACTAATGAAAAATAGGCAAGATCTGGTTAAGGTTTCATAATATTCAGAAATTGAAATTTTGTTATGTAGGACTAAATAAATCGAAAGGTTTTGTTAATTTAAATCAGTTTATTGTATTTTTAATCAGGGCATAGTAATAAAAAAAATAAAGTTATTTTTAGCAAATTGCTATACATTCGGCACGTTGCGGTTAATATTTAACATGAGGCTGTCTTCCTTTGACTGTTAGATACTTTCAATATTATTTACAACGGTTTAGATTAAAATTTTATTCTTGATCCAAAATTATTTTGAAAATACTCAAAGTAAAAAAAAAGAAAAGATGAGTATGATATATTTACGCTTTCTTTTAGCAATAATAATAATATTAGTATTAAAAACTCAACAGGTTTTACCAAATACGTATAGACATCTACATTTATTCCTGCATAAGAATCAGAATGCAAAAAATGCGTCGTCACCCTGATGACTACGATAGAATGACTCGTTACAACTGGCCTCGTTACCGGTAATAAGGTTATCCAGTTCTCTACAGTGAATGATATATGGATCGAAAATAGCATTTGTTTGTTGCACAAATAAAAAGCAATTACCTCTCTGTAGACGGCCCGAGCCAAATTGATTCTGGCACGCTGACCTCCTGAGAGGGATACACCTCTTTCACCCACTAGGGTTTGATCGCCATAAGGGAATTGTTTGAAATCCTTCTCTAAAGCGCACGCTTTACATACCTGAAAATACATGCATAATTTAATATTATATTCGTCTCCTTGAGGTTCTATATATAGTTTTTATTTTATTTTATTAAAAACATTCTCATGAAATATTTAGTTAATTAAACTAAAGTACATAGTTATTATTATAAAATATATATAATATTATTCTTCTTTCCATCATTCCAATACGGGGTATCGTTCATGCCCTACTTATATATACACTATCGACAAAAAAAAAGTATATTGTCACACACGAATACGTAGATAACGTCTTGTACAATAATTACGATTATCTATAAACCTATTTTTACAGAAATTTTTAATTTTTAAGGGACTTTAATGCAAATACGTACTTCATTGTATTTCTCCTTGTCGTAAGGCATACCGAACAAAATGTTTTCTCTGACTGTACTCGGGAAAAGCCACGCCTCTTGGCAAGCGTACGAGATTTTTCCAAACACTGACACGCTGCCAGTAGCTGCAGGCAATTCCTTCAGCAGTAGTTGCAAGAACGAAGACTATATGAAAAAAGAAGAGTGTATCAGTTTTAAAATACATCATAATATCTAGCAGATTAAAATAATAACACCGCCAGTCGACGATCGGTGGTATAGGTAAATATATCACACAATTTGTCCTATGAATATCTTCAACGTATTCACAAACACCGAAAAAGTGTTCATGACATACGAAAATGACAGAATACAATCATAAAAATCTCGTAAATATTGAAGACGATAAGCAGTGTCCAAAGTGCGAGGCTTGATTGCGTTATCGCCAATGCACCTGCGAGGCGTGGGGTTACACCAATCCCCTATATTAAGGAAGGCCCATGACCAGAAGGAAACAGGAGACTCTTTTTACTGGAAACGAGGCACTCCATCTTAGTAATCACGGGTGACAACACATCTGCATTTTGATTCGTAATCGATTGATAGATGTAGATGTCTATGGGCCACAGTAACCATTTACCATCAGATGGACTGTGTGGTCGTTTGTAACCCTATCCTATAAAAACTTTTGGCGGGCTTATACAGTTGAGACAGATGATTATGGTATTAAAACCATATTGTAATAAATTGAAACTACATTCATGTATCAATTAGTGACAAAACTTTTTTTTAATAACTTTTTACTGATATTTTCTTAAGGATGATATCAGAATAAATAATTTTTTAACAGGATGTCTGTTAAAAAATTATTTATGGATAGAAAATTAAAATATTATTTTGGATTTTAAAGTTCATCTCTAATAAAAATTCAATGATTGCTCTTATAAAAACTAAAAACTGTTGGAAACGTAACAAATTTTATGCTCCATACAAAACAATTAATTAAAAATTCTCAACAAAAGTAGGTTATCGTTGATTGGATACACTGCAAACATAATTTGCCTAAAGCATATTACTCGTACAATTTTATTATTTATTTATATATTAATCATGTGCTCGGTGGTCAAGGAAAACATTGTGAGGAAACCTCCATCTCTGAGGAATAATATAAAAGTATTTCTAGGACATATGAAGTAAGAGTTTTAGGACATTACTCCTATCAACTATTTTAGAATAGGGATTAAGTCCGTGCCCAGCAGTAGGACGTATCCATAGGTTGTAATTTTACTTTTCTACCAACTTCAAAAATCAAATGGTACTCAATTCGACTGTATGTTTTTTTATATGTGTTACCTCATAACTTTTTACTGGGAGACCGATTTCGATTATTCTTTTTTATTTGAAAGCTGGTGCTTCACAAGTGGTCTCATATAAATTTGATTAAGTTCTGACCAAGTGTTTTTGAGTTATTCTTAATAATTTATATTGAAGTCGGTTGTACTAAATTTTTAATTTTAAATTATATACTTAACGCAACTTATGTATTCAAAACATAGAAAAAGTCGTGGCTGTACCTTGCCTGACCCGACGGCCCCTATGATTGCGCAAAGCTTTCCTTTGCGTATGCGTACAGAGATGTTCTTGAGTGCCAAGAAATTGGGGTCATCGGTCCAACTGGCGCTAACGTCCCGCAGTTCAACCGCAATATCACAGTTTGGTTGAGAGAGACTTCTTCGAAATTTCCTCTCTGACCGTAAAGAACCTTTTAGAAATGATTCATGATTAAATATTAATTATTAAAATAATTTATAATTATCAAAATGTATTAACAAGATTCTTTTTAGATTAACATTTTGTTACATAGAAAATCAGTTATTAGAAATTCTCAGTTGCTACTGCTGGCCGGGGTCAGGAAGTCGGCGGAGATCACCCCTGTGCCACATTAAACACGTAAAGCTAAAGCTGAACGGTCCTGCGCCTGATCTTTCTCGGGTCGTGTCGGATAACCGTCCCATCAAACTATGAAAGTGAGGGAATAGAGAGTGCACTTGTGTTTACACATTCACTCGGGTACTGTAATCCTGTCCTGCGCAGATGGTTAGTCTCCGTGGAGATTTGCCGCCATGACCGAAATTCGATCTCGAGGACATTTATAACATTTACATAAATAGATCTTGAGTCATTAAGCTTTTGTTAAGACAACAATGGTTTTTGCTTTTTATATAGAAGTGTAACTTTTTACGGGAGGTCTTCGAAATTATGTTTTGCGGATCAGAATTTCGAAGCCCTTCCGTAAAAAGTTATGTGTGACGAAAAGTGGTGGGGGAAAACACTACGTAACGGGTCATTCTGGTTCGATTATATCGATACCATAAAGTATATGGTAATATAATTACAAGATCACAACGCTCTTTCATTTCTTTTTTGTTTTTTTTATAGGATTTTCTTTCAAATACTAATCTTAAATTTTACCAGGAAAATTTGAGCATTTGAGTAATAGCGCCATCTACTACATTCTATAGGTAAAGTTATTTTATAGAACAAAATTGATTGACTCTCAAGGTGGTACTTAGAGTAGATGCTAGATGGCACAAACCCAAAAAAATAATATTAATCGGTAAGTTTTGAAATCAAGGATTATTATGAATGGATTGGGCAAACATGATATTTTTTTTATGTTTAAGCCATCTAGCGTCTTTTCTACGTACCATCATGAAAGTTAATCAATTTTGGTTCGATAAAATGGCTTTACTTATAGAATGAAGTAGATGGCCCTATTAAAAAAAGGAAAGTAATTTGAAGCCCAATAAGGCAGAGCAGCGTTTATTTAAAATAACAATTTGTAATTCATCTATCATTACAGACTATCACAAGTCCACTACTGAAAATAGTTCTCCGCCATAGATTTCCTCGTTCGGGGAAATTCGCCATAACTACCACGCTAAGGCCTAGGCCTCCCCCAAAGAATGCTTTGTGGCATTCTTTGGGGGAGGCCTATGTTCAGCAGTGGACAGGGCTGTAATGATGATGATGATGACCACGCTAAGCAAGCGTGTTGGCAAACACAGTTTTTTTAATGATGCTACTGCCCATCTCCTTCAGTTTTCCTCGCCCCATAAAACACCCAAGAGATGATAAGGGATATTCTTACGCCATCACTACACTGCTAATAAATGTATATCATGTTATTGCGTGTGTATATACTAATTAGCTTTGTTGTTCTTTATGCTTTGTTAATTAACGGCTGAATACTTTTACGGACATCCTTAGTCTCAAAGATTTACACATTTTCACTCGCACTGGTAATCTGCTCCCCATCACCGGTCTGTAGGATACGAGTACGATATTTTCGATTTAATATCTCTACCCTCTTCTAACGGTTGCCATAATTTTATTTGTTAATTACTTAGAGGATGCACTACGTGCAAGGAAAATTTGGAAAAAAAAGGATATTACATCTTTCACATACTCCGTTACCTCATAAGTGTTAATAAATTACAAAATATTAATAATAATAACATTTAAATTACGCTAATTCTACTAACCATTGCTTAAAGAAAATTCTGATTTTGTTTGGTAGGATAGAGGCCTAACTGTTGCCTCTTTAAAGTCCTCGAAGTTTCCTGACACGTTCCTAAATAAATTCGATTTAGTGCGCACTTTATCTTCAATTAAGTCAGGTCTGTCTTCTGCAAAGTTAAAATTATTGTTGGAAACTTTTTAGAACCTGCGGATGGTTAAAAAAGAGGCAGAGAAATGTGTGTGTGTGTGTGACTTTTTATTTAACACATGTTTTATCTTCTTCTTCATCCGTTCGTAAGTCCACTGCTGGATATGGACCTCTATCTACAACGAGAGAGGTTTTTTACTTTTTTTTTACTTAATCACCACGCTTTGCAGGCAGAATAACCATCACAGTATCAAACGTCTTGCACCTTAGACACTGCTTCCTGTTCACCGGTCTTTATATTTTATGCCCGGCGTAAGTGAGATGATTATGTCTGATCATGTCGCGTTTTTTCTATCATTTTATATAAATGCGTCTTATTAGTCCAGTCAAATAAGTTCTGAATTCAAAATTTTGACATTCAATTTTGCATTTTTTATATAATGTAGTTGTAATGATACAAAACCAATGTGTAAAGGTTTTCGAGTCCGCAACCCCCGGCAAGTGTTAAAAAAATTTGTCAAAAGTGTTTTTTCACAATTACTGTAAAACGGTAAACAGCAGACAAAAAAGCAGTTCTTATAAAATTGTGTAGAGCTTAAAATTTTACATAAAAAAGGCATTATGATGTTTTTTGCTCCGGTCAAAATAATCCGAGTTATAGAGGTTTTAAGTTTAAGGAATAAACGTAAATTAAAAAAATCGTAGGGAGTGGAAAAATAAGCGATTTTTTTAATTGCTTAACAAATTTAACCTAAAGGTGCTAGATTTTTATAAGAACTCTTTTATTTATTTTTACCGTTTGCGAGTAATTACGAGAAAACACATTTACACAACAATTTTTTTAACCCTTGCGGGGGTTGTGGACACAAAAACTTTTACACATTAGTTTTGTATCATTAAAACCATATTATATCAAAAATGCAAATGTGAGTGTCAAAATTTTGATTTCAGACCTTATTTGATTGGACTATTATGTCACCCGGGCACAGAACCCCGGGCGAAAGGGTGTGTTGGATGTCTAACGGCGCCACCACACGGCAAATATAATACATGTTTAAATTAAGTTCGTATTATAAACCAGAAATAAAAGAATTATATTCATTTAAACTTACCCAAGGAAAGGAATTGTTCCACTCTTTTCAACGAAACCATTAACTCAGCAGTAAATGTTAATACTAACGGTAAAATTAATGTTATATTAATTTGGGCAGCGTTCATAAATTGTTGTAAGGGATATATCTAAAAAAATGGTAAGCTAAGACAATGATAAATTTTAATACATATAAAACAAAAAAGGTAGTGCAAATAACATACGAGCAATATAAACATTTTGTCTGAGAACGACTTCACGAAACTTAAAAAATATTATTAGACTTTTAGCTTAAAATTTATGGTTTAAGTGAAGCTTATTAACAGTTTTTGTCCCTATAAATATTTGATGTTGACGAGCTGTATAGATACTACGTTCCAGATCCAAGATTAGATTCCCAGCTACGGTCAAAATCTGTGTTAAAACATACATTAGGACCTGGTAGTTTTATAATTCTTCTCTTGCTTTGACTTTAAATATTGCTGCATCAAATGTATGATGAAACCGCATGTGTAACTTTTTTTAGCCTATGATATGAAATTCTGCATACCGTTCTCTTCCTTCATTCATAGTCTTGCTGCACGATATGAATGAAGAATGAATTTTTATTAAAAACAACCAGTTGCACAAACGCCTTGCGTCTAGCGTAAGCAAAGTCTATCGCATTCGTCATCGTGTCTGCGATTTCTTTGTACTACTGGTTTCGACGTCATTATGCTTGTATTATTAATATGCTGGTTATTAAAGGTAGGTGGGTATGCGTTGCGGTATCACCTACCTACACAGATATTAAGCAAAAAAAAAATTTTACTACTAGTACCACCAAGATACGAATTTACCCGTATAGGAAATGTCAAGTGGCACCTAATGTTTATTTATTGAATAAAAAACATTAACTTGTACATGGAAATTAATAAAATACAAATTATACTTACAACATTAGCAGTCAATACATTTCCAAGCAAAATAAGCGATAGAACGGTTATGAAAAGGGCTGCTCTTTCTGTAAAAACCGTAAAACCAATGAATATAATTCTCAGCAAGGAGGCAATTTTTATTTGTTTCAGTTCATCCATGCGTTTTTGCCCAACAACTTTTTGGAACGGAATTTCCCACGCGTACATTTTGATCACCTGAAAAATTAGCAAAATAAAACTGATATTTCTAAATTATTTTTTTTTATTGTCTGTATAACGTTGACTGCCTAGATAGTTCAGTGGTCATAACCGTCACTGCGGACCATGTGGTGCCAGGTTTGATCAGGTCAAAATTTGTTATTGGGTTTTTCTATAAAAAAAGTAGAAACCGAATTGCAAGTCGGGAAGTTAACAGTGTTTTGCCCTCGTGTCTCGCAGAGCATATAAAACCGATGCCAAAAATTCGGGGTGGAGGGTATTATTATAACGCCATAACATACAGTTACCCTTTGGGTTAATTTTCTTCTTCATCATCCAGAAGTTAAATAGTCACTCCTGGACATGTGCCTCGCCCGTTTGAGAGATTAGGGAGAAAGTAATATTTAACCATTTTAACCGGTTAAAGTATACTTGGGAGACTTGGTTGCCTTCCCAGTTGCCGGATTCGAGGATTACAGAGTCGTTCCCAACTCTTCGGGCCTGAGACAATCGTATAATATCCCAGCACAACTTGTCTATCCCTTCTTCCAGTTCCTGTATTTTGAATTCAGTCCTTAAGTTGCATGCGTTAAGAGTGACCAGGTCAAGACGTTGAAGGTGGGAACCGATCTTTCGCCGGCGATTCTTGACTCCCCCGCTACGCCATTACCATGTTCGCCACAGTTGTCAGGAATATCGGGGCCGCCGGAGATTTTGAGTCGTCTATTTGCTTTTATTTTGACTTTCTGAATGGGAAGTAAGTTTGCCAAAGTTGCCGCACTTGGAGGGCGAGTTTGCAACCATCAGATATACTGTGAGCTCGTTTGTCATCCTTATCCTATAAGAAAACCACTATTTTTTTAATATTTCCTTGTTATCTGCAATACACTACTGCCCATCTCTCAATTAGTTCTCGGGTGTTATTTTCACACAATACTTACTAAAGCGAAACCTCTGCACCTTCATATTATTTTATAATATTGTATTTATCTATACTATTTGTAATTAAAATGGTTATTTCATTCGAATCATCATATTTTATTATTCCTTACCTGTATTCCATTAATAACTTCGCTCATTAATTTGACCCGTGCATCTGTTTTTTCTGCAGTACGAAATCTTATTCTGCCAAGAAACCGACCAAGACTACCTAAACAAAATAAATTTATTTAAATTTTTTATTATGGTAAATTTATATATCAAATATAAGTTCGACAACGAGTTTTCACACCTTTGATATTTTTAGTAATATTTTAATGGGTTATAGCGTTAAAAACTAAAGAAAAAAATATTTTATATATTTATCATTTAATTAATAGAATCAGGTGTTACTTTGCGGAAGTCCATTATATTAAATTTGACAAAAAAATACTTTGCTTACAACCGCTAGATAAAATAAAATGATGTGTCTTACCTAGTTTGAAGAGCACCTCCCGCCCTCCCTCAATTGCGTGCACTATAAGTACGGTTTAGCGGTTAGCCACCGTAGAGTCTATATCACCTGAGGATGCCTCGTGTAGAGGCGAAACACGTGTCGCATTGTCGTCAGTGGTGTGTCTTTCCTAGTGTAGTGGTGTTGGGAGTAGTGGTGCTGGGATTAGTGATGACGGGGATAGTGGACGCAAGTTATATCAGTGGTAGAGCCACGTAGCAGCTTTTGCTGTCACACGGATGGGCCGGCTCGAACCGGGGTGGTACCACGACCTCACAGAAAACCAGCGTGAAGTAGAAGTTTACCTCTGCGTTTCGCTTGGTCAGTGCAGGTGGCCGGAGGCTCTTTTTACTGGAAATGAGGCATTCCATCTTAGTCCTCACGGGTGGCAACGCATCTACATTTTGATTTGTAATGGAGGATAGATGTAGATATCTATGGGCCGCAGCAACCACTTACCATCAGGTGGACTGTGTGCTCGTTTGTCACCCTTATCCTATAAAAAAAATTGAGGGAGGGCGGGAGGTGCTCTTCAAACTAGGTATGACACATCATTTTATTTTATCTAGCGGATGTACGCAAAGTAATTTTTGGTCAAATTTAATATTTATCATTTAGCAAAATGTAATACCCAACATTTATTTTTAATGTTATTATATCATGAATTTTCAATAAGTAGCAGGACTCCTTTTCTGCCAGCAAGAAGCAGTGCGTGAACTTTCATTTTAATTACAGGCTGTATGCTATACCAGCTTAGTATTCAGAAGTGATGAGGAATGAAACGTCGGGAATTAAAAATAAGTGAATGAAGCGCGATAAAATCTATTAAAATAAAGTTTAATACTATTAAATCATATTAACCTTGAATGGGCAATGCAATGATAATTAAAGCAGCCAATCCGATGAGAGCAGCAGTACCCGCTTGCATATAGCCCAGGTATGAAACCGCGGCTAACTGTATTGGAATGATCCATAAATAATGTAGGAAGAGGAACGCTAAATCAAATCGTTGCAGATCATTTGATAATATGTTCACAACTTTTCCTGCCGTCGTCTCTCCTAAAGAACCGTTATTCATCCGCATAATCTAAAACAAAAACAAAATATATATACAACTTATACCTATAACGAATTCACAGATTATAAGCAGTAATATCGTTAAAATCGTATTCATTTTGGACAGTTATAATTTAATTTGACACAACTGTTGCCCACAGTTCCCAAAGCGAGCAGCCCTGGAAATCTAGGAACTCTCTTTCATCGCCTATCGGTAGAGAGTTCTATTGTTCTATGGACTTAGTCGTCGACAGTAGCCATAAACTAACAAGAACAATTTTTATAGTTCTGACTATAAACTTATTCTATTTCTGTTTTATTTATTTGCACTAAAGTTAAAAGTGAACAAAACATGCTGTTAATTATAAGTATCAGAGTTTTAATGGAAATAATAATATGAAACATGATTTTGGACGATTGTGATTCATAATTGTGAACAAAAAGAGTTTATATAATATTATTTTACATTGATAATGTAATCATGCATTGTTGCGAAGAAATTAGGCTAAACAATATTTTTAGTGCCTTAAACAGCAGGTTTCATTTTACGAAAGATAAAAACCAATTCCCAATTAATGTTTTACTTAATTTCAAAAGAATCAAAAATTTCTAGATCCTCTTAAGGATCTAGAAACTTTACAAATTACAAATTTTGGATGATATAGCATCCATTATAATAGTTTATATAACATAGTTTTTTTTTTATATTCTACTAAGCCAGCGCTTTTCTACGATCCCACCTGATGGTAAGTGGGATAAATATAGTAATTTATTTATAACTTAAACATAATCCAATAAATATAGAATTGCACATATTTCCAGATTCATCGCGTATTGAGGTCGTGCGACACATTGGGGCATGTCCTTACTGCGAAAACTTAAGTTTTCCCTTTTAAAACTATAACAGTAAAACTGTAACTACAATAGTTGGGTACTTTTCGCAGCAGGATTATATTAAATACTCGCATGTTCATTTTTCTGTTCAACAGAATTAAAAAAATTGGTGGGACTCATATGTAGCGCCAAGATGACTGAATTAATAATAATTAAGCATAATTTAAATGCATTCTTTAAATCATCATGAAGCAAAGGTCTTTAAATTAAAAAAAAATCCGATATTTAAGAATCTTCCATTTAATTGTTGCTTTAAAAATATTCTGATTAATATTTAATGCTTCCTTAAATTTAGTTAATAAAATGACGCTTTCTTTAAGCCTATACATAGTAATGAATTTTATGTTAACGTACAAAACGTCTGTAATGAAAATTAAAGGCTTTAATGATTTGGTTTTAATTTTGTATTTACATAATGTTTTATGTTCCGTGTTTATCTGGATAGGTGTCATCTCTGATAAAATTATATTATTTTTTCTAACGTGGAGCGTTGCTTATATCCGTCCGTCGCCCATTGTTTATATCAATGTTCGCCCAAGTACTTTAACTTTAATAGGTCAAGCAGCACAGTTTTCTAGTTAGTGGCAGTCCCAGAAGTCATAGTTGAAAAACGTCAAATTCAAATAAATTTTTCACAGTGGTTCATTCAATTTATTCAATATTGCAATTGTATTTGATTTGTTAATATTTGACAATATACCATATACCAAAATATGAATTGGTAATATACTATTAATTAGCTAATAATAAAGTTATTTTGTGCCAAATGTTTAAAATAATTGATTCTTTAGCATTAATGATTCGCCACACGCATTAGGCCAGTGTGGCGGCGGACTGTTTTCTACCCCAAAAATCATCTTATTGATGAGAAGAGGCATGTATCCAGCAGTGGAACGCATGAAATCTGCTACCTATTCACATTTTCGGGGAATATTATTGCTATCGAATATTACTCTAATAAAATTTTTAAAATGTTTAGAACGACATTCATGGAATGAAAAGTGTCTTGTTTTAGGTAGGAATCGAACCGACTCACACATGAAAAATACAGCCTGTATTTTTTTTGGTGTTAACCAATATGGCCAATGGTATAGATCGAATATCTGTGGGACATTGTCTTAAATAAAAGTAGGACCATGACATCTAAACTTATTTTGGTAAAATAAATAAAGAAGCAAAATTAAGATTGTCCAAATTTTTGCGAACATTTTGGAGGTCCTGTGGAGAACAGCAATTAAGAGGGGTTTTTTGGAATAATGTAAAATAAGCACAAAGTTATTTATTTATTTATCTAAAAAAATAATTTTTAGCTTTGTATCTTACTCTCCAAAATTAACCCATTTAGTTAGTTTTAGTAAAAATGTGTGAGAAAAAACATTTTACAACAGACAAATGGGCACTGAAGTGATTTCATAAGTGATCTGTTTTGCTAATTTCAGTGCGAAACACTAATTAAATGATTACATAAATATTCACGCGAGCAAAGCCGCGAATAAAAGCTAGTTACACAATCACTTCTACAAATCCTTCCTACAATATGAAAGATCATAAAGCGTTTCAATAAGTAGCTGAAAATCATAAATAATAATACTACTTACATCGATAAATTTGATTGAATTAATAGAAGTTACCTTAAATTTATAAATAAGTGGTTCATGATATGTAATAAATTCTGACGTTTTTGTGTGATTGCATTAAAATTTAAAGTAGCCGAAAATATTTTACCTCTTAAGCATGAACTTTAATTAACTAATTTCAAATGAACTTTAATTAACTAATTTCAACCCACTGTACCGTATGCGATTTATGCAAAACTTTCCACATATTCCTAGATCCATTCACGAGTACATTTATAAGTAATCAAAATTATAAGTTTAGCATTGCTGACATTGTACATAAAACACTAAAATAATATACCTTTGGAGTGATTTAAATATAAAATTTTCATATAATTCTTTTTTAAATTCTCTTTCCGTTCATAATCAGACAGAAACTATTGGTTATGTATATATGATTTATATAGCCATGTATAATTGAGGCTAAAACCGGGAGCAGCCAAAACAGTAGCACCATATTTCACCCCTTCAGGATTTGAATTTTACAAAATTCTTTCTTAGTGGCAGCTACTGTTCAAATTTCAGCTAACATCTAGCTGTTTGAGCTGTACGTTGCTAAACGAGTAGGTCACTCAGGACATACTCTTTTATATATGTATAAAACTCGTTTGATTCACCTATCTATATATATATAGAGATGTGAATCAAACCAGTCCGTAAAACCAGAAGACTTGGTTTTATTTTTGATGTCACATATTTTTGTCTTGTATATTTTAATTTGTCAACTTAAAATTGTTTGACGGCTCCGTGGCGCAGTGGTTTAGCAATTAGTTGTTGCGCTGGGGGCCGCGGGTTCGAATCCCGCACGGAACAAGTATTTGTATGGCCTACAAATAATTGTTCCGGGTCTGAATGTTTGTCCTCGTGCAATTTATGTTTGTAAACTGCAATATTTTTTAAAAACAAAAAATATTTTTTATTTACGTAACGTATGTAACTCAGGTACCGAATATGTTGCTTTTGCTGCTACTTTGTATTTATTTTTTAAGACAAATAATTGATTACAAATTAGAATTCACAAAATGTTTTATATTTAAATACAATGATAAATTTTAATTAGCTATATAATTTTATTAAGCAATAGAAAATTGTATCATAACTCAATTTAAAACAAAAATTTTAAATCATAACACTCACCTTTCTAAACATAAGAGAACTGATGGCCACCCTTAACTTCATTCCAAATTGCTGACATAGAAAATTTCCATGATGTCCGCAAAAGGCAGCTATCCAATTGCTCAAAATCATACCAGCTGCGTAATATGCAGCAGTTTCTCTACTTATTGTAGAATGTGCAGACCAGTAGGAGAGCAACTCTGCGAAGAGCAGCGGAGTGACTGTCCTATTTAGATCAAAGAACAATAAACAAAAATTTTAATGATGATAATGATGCATATATTTCATACATTTGCTTATTCTAGCAAGTAATATTTGGTGAACGCGTGTCTATCCTCATTCAAGCATATAATATTATCGGACTATAATCAGAATGAAAGACCAAATGTCATACTTCAAATTTTGGAGTATGGTTAGCGGGCTAAAAAGAAGTAAAGAATAAATATAATTAATAAACTTAAAGAATTCTTAAAATATATAAGTTATACCTAAATATACATGCATATTTAATTTCAACATTAGGGCGGCGTTTAGTCCAGCGCCGGATTATCATAAAGAGAAACTAGGCATGTACCTAGGGGAGCAAGGTTACCAAGGGGCGCGAGGGTAAATAAATACCACAGTATAGTCATATGGTATGGTCATGCGAGGCAAAAAATGCCGCGTAAAAGCCTTAGAGATTACAATTCCTCTGAGCACTCCTTGTGGTATATGCGGTACAAGATGCATGGATATACAACGTCTCTTCGCAAGGACAGCTTATCAAGCCGATCGGAAAGAACATGGACAATTCAGATCGCTCTCCGTTGAAACCGGTCTCTCAAAATGTAGACTCCAAGGAATCCGATGCTGGCTGAGGCAACGGGGGAGTGCCTTAATTGAGGATATACGATAAAGGGGATAGTTTTTGCGATAAACGCGCAAACCTGTGTCTTTTGAAGGTTAAACTGAACTAGATTTAGATAAACTCGACTTCAGACACTACTTTGTTCCGGCAATCGAGAACTAATTCCCGAGAAATTTTAGCATGGCCTATAAGGCATCGCCAGTGCCGTCGCCTGCATAACAATGAATGTTACTAGTATGCAACATATCACTGATATGCAGAAGAAACAGGGTAGGCGATAGCACGCAGCCTTATGGAACACTAGCATTTATAGGCTTGGAGTCTGTGCATGCACTCCATTAACACTCCAATCTGTAAGGAAACTGGTGACCTAATAGCATAATTTATTTGGAAGCCCATAAGAGGGAAGCTTTGAAAGAAGCGTTTTGTGCCAAATACAATCGAAGGCCTTTGCTTATCCAAAATAACTATCAGATCTTTCCACTTGGTATCGATTGCCTCCGCCCATCGGTGAGTCTTGAAGAGCATCAGGTGGTTAATGACTGTTAATACGGTTTACACAATAAGGTGTAAACCGTATTAACAGTCAGAAATCAGCTGATGCTCTTCATGGTACCTCATGATCTGGCATTATTTTTGAGAACAAGGAGGTGATAGGAGGAAAGGAGCTAGTTGGACGGGTCCGGTCACCTTTTTAGGGACCGGGTGCAATAAGGCTGTCTTCCATGAGCTTGGAACGATACCTAAAAAGTAAGAGAACCGGAAAAGACGCGTAAGAACCGGTACTAACATCTCAATCCAGAGATAGCACACGTCGGTATGACACGAGGGGATTCCGTCAGGTCCACTCCTCTTATGGACGTCTAGGAACAGTAGTGCTCTACGCACTGATCACTGTGGAAACTGCACATCCTGTTTTGAACATTCACACTGCAAGGTGGCCGGCTATAGGTTGCCCCAGTCGTCGAAAGTCGAATTGGACGCAAAAATAGAACGTAAAAGATTTGATTACTTCTTTGCGGCGTGGCCAGTGAGTCATCTTCCCTGCGTAGAAATAGTAATGATGGCTTACAGAAATTCCCTTGGGCAACCTTGGCGAGAGAACAGAATGCACGAGTTCCCGAAGGAAGGCGAACTAATTTCCCGCCAATTCTCTCAATGTGCTCCAGCTCCAACTTTGCCTAGTGATAACTCTTTCTAACTCTCGCTTCTTTCTGACTACTGTTTGCATCCCGGGACACCGATGCCTGGGCCCAGACCTTGTAACACTCCTTTGCCGCAACGCAATTTTGTAGGAGCTACTATAAAACAAGGCGGAGATCTGCCGCCGATAGGCACTACAGATGACGGAATAAAAATGTCCATTTTCTGAAGCACTACATCGGCGTCAAACTCAGCAACGGTGTTGGGATGTCCAACGAAAAGCAAATCCGCTCGGATGTATAAAAAAGCCAAAAGCCAGAGGGGCGCCGATGTGGTACTAGGCTAGGGCGCTGTCAACATTTAATCGCCTCTGGTTTATCCATACAAACGTACTCGTAGTCTTTTGTTTTCTACCTGTAGAATGACGTTACAGCAAATATTTATTACGATATGATCTATATCTACAATTGCCACGTTCTTATAATTTTTTTCGAAAATTAATTATGTTATAAAGAGCCCTTTAAAATTACTAAAATTACGCAACAAAGCCGCCGTCATTAGTCATCTAGAAAATAAATTAAAGAGGCGTAAAATAATTAAAAGAAAACATACAGACATAGCTACAATCCTTCTTATTTTGTTCTTAAAAAATTATTACATAATAGGCGGATAGAGGTAATGATTTCATCAATTTTCCATAGGTTTTATCAGTCCGAGCTGCGCCTGTCTCTCCCATGGTCCCTAGTTATCTAGGTCGGGCGTTGGGATACAGAGCGACAATAACAGATCTTCTCTTCAGTTTTCTTGCAGCCTGAACTTGTTATCAAAATGCGGATGTGTATTGGATATGATGAGTGTCGAAAACTGGAGGCACTTGTAACGAGACATTCCATCTCATTTTGACGCCGTTTATTACTCACTTACCAACTCTCCTACCAACTGAACTGCGGGGCGATTCGGGGAGTTGTGGGAACTCAATTCTCATTGATTAACGCACTAAAAGAATCATAGCGTGAAGTGAAAGTGGATGCTACTGTCGTTGGTCGTTAATAATAAAGCGAAACAACAAGCATCTGGAGGATGTATCTTTCAGTAGAAAAATACCTACGTGTACTATGAGGATGCCGGATACGTCTGATGAATCAAGAAAGGGAAAACACTTCGCTATTTATCATTCTGTTGTAGAACTAAACGTTAATATACAAAGATCTGGGATTTCGTCATTTAAGTGTTCTTTGAAAATCCAAGAGCTTTAGAAATAATACAAAAAGGTTTTTTAATCCGAGATAATAGTTAAAAATAATTTAATTTTTTTTATTTCTAATGGGGTTGTTATAAACTAATTTGCTTAATTCCGCGTAAAGAAAAAAAATGATGTGTCCTGCCCAGTTTTAAGTGGGACCCTCGCTCAATCGCGCACACTGTACCTACCCGTCGCCGTGAATCCCAGCACTACCATCCCCAGCACCACCACACTAGGCACGACACACCACTCTCAAAACACGTGTCGTATTTTCGATTTTCGGGGAGTTTATAACAACCCCATTATAATGGATTTCCGCAAAGTAACGCCTGATTCTATTAATTATTTTTTATTTCTCTTAAGAATGCACCCCGCAACCATTTATTAAACAGCCAATGGGACATAGAACTGAAAACGATTTCTCCAGACACCAATCCGTTGGTCGGTGAATTGGTAACCTACACGGGTAATAAACGAACAACGTATTCGATTTTTTTTACTTTAATCGAATATAGATGTAGCGTTCTACGGGTCACAGTATCTGCCTACCTTACCATCAGATGTACCGTTTGAGTTTTGGTGAAACTTATACTAAAAACTAATGTCATTGAGACAAAATATGTGAAAAATATATAATGAATTACTTACCGAATACTAACTGACATTAATTGTATTATGCCTCCAGGAACGAAAGACCAAAAGAATGTCTTCACAAGACATTTATTAAAGGATGGTTTTCTACCGGCGGCCTTCGCTGCCGCCTCTTCTTGTAGCCAATTTCTGAAACAATCAATAAAAAACATCTTTACGAAACGTAGGAAGTCTCCTGTAAGAAGAGTTTAATTAAATAAACCCTGATGATTTTTGCTTCAGGCTTTTCTAACCCATTTTAAACAATATTTAGAAATGTGGTGATGACGCCGATGATGAAAATTGTGATAATGTTGAACAGAACGGTTAAATTCTTCAGTGGTTTATACATAGCTAATATTTGTACGCCATCTAAGTGTAATGCGGACAATCGGGCTGGGGGGGGGGGGTGCAGTGTTTAATATAAATATTTGACATTGTGATATTCCCCAATTCACTGAAAAAGGTTAAAAAGATTAACTTACACTATATTTTAGCAACGACTTCAGAACATGAAATTATTTTATTCTTTTTTTTTAAACTAGCTTTCTTCTTTTTATTAAAAGTTAATTTAATTAAATTAAAACGCTCTGGAAGCCTCTCATTTCTAAAAGGGAGTCTACCAGTGCTCGTTTAACATAAAATGCAAATAATCCAAGTTTGGATCTCGTCAACTCGCAATTTTAAATGCTCATTATTTATCACGTGCTACCAGGGTATTTCGACTCGAATTGTAACCTTCCGATGACAAGTGTATCCTATAAGATAATCACTAACGTTAACCACAGTGATTAGATCCAGGTGCACAAATATAACAGTGCCCAAAACGAAATACTAGCCAAAAGAAGCTTATGGTACAGTTTGGTAGGCTATTGTTATTAGTTTTGTTTATAGGTTTTATATTATTAATAATAATGTCCTCCAGACCGAATTTCGGTCACGGCGGCCAGCCTCAATGGAGACTAGCCATCGGCGCAGTACAGAATTATAGTACCCGAGTGTATGCGCAGCTGGTGCACTCTCTATTCCCTCACTCTCATAGTCCGATGGAATGGTAAACCGACACGACCGGAGAGAGATCAGGCGCAGGACCAACGGCTTTATGTGCTTCTCGAAGCACAGGAATAAAACACCGCCAAATTCCTGACTCCGTGCTACTACTGAGAATTTCTTGACAAAAAATCGCAACCACTTGGGATGCGAACCTGAGACCACAATCAGCAGTCACGCTTATTACCACAAGATTAAAGAGAAGCAGTCGCGATTCCGACCAGTAGAACAACGAGGCGGTAAATTTATTATACTTATATACGGCTCCGTGGCGCAGTGGCTTAGCAATGAGTTGCTGCGCTGGGGGGCGGGGAACAAGTATTTGTATGGCCTACAAATGATTGTTCCGGGTCTGGATGTTTGTCCTTGTGAAATTTGTGTTTTTAAACTGCCTCCACGATACAGGAGAAAATCCTAGTGTGGGGGTAACGTTTTTTAAAAAAAATAAAATAAAAAAATAAAAATATGTAAACTAGCTGTTCCCCGCGACTTCGTTCGCGTGTTAGGGTTTTTATGTTTTTGCGCGGAACCCTAATTCTTTTTCTAAAATAAAAGTAGCCTAAGTTACTCCTTATGAAATCAGCTATCTGCCACTGAAAGTCTCGTCAAAACCAGGTCAGCCGTTTCGGAGATTAGCCGGAACAAACAGACAAAAATTTTAAAAATTGTATTTTAGTTATAAGTACCGTATTTACTTTCATATGCATTTAGTAAAAAACTGTAATTTTCAGATTACAAACAGACACTTAAATTTTATTTATTTGTATAGATTTAAATGCAAATAATATGGAAGTTTTTCTAACGTGTACATAGAAAAACTACTCACATAATATCGATAAGCACACACACACTACATTTTCTCTGTCACGTATTGTTACATTATTCTCGTTAAATCGTGACTAACTACATTAATTATTTTAATAATAGTTTGTGCAAACAAAGTAACCTTTAAAAATTTTAGAGTGAAATATTTACGATTTTATTTAATGGATTGACAATATTTTACTCTAAAACTTTAAATATAAGCGAACACTTTATTGTAGTCAAAAAGTATAAGATGTAAGTACATTAATTTACAATTAATTTAAGCCTATATTATATTGACTCTTGGCAGTTAATAATGAGTGAATGAATGAATGAAATATACTTTATTGTACACCAAAAAAAAATAAAAAACAACAAATTATTTAAAGGTACAATTGGCGGCCTTATCGCTTAAAAGCTCTACCAGGTTGTGGTTACCTGTGGGTTGCAGAGAATGTACCTGTGAGAAAGGGTAGGGTTCTAAGTTGTTAGAAAATATATATAAAAGACATAAATATAATTGTTTACTCGATAAATAAATAATAATATAATAAATAAATACATATTAATAACAATAGTGTAGAAACAGACATAATATTATACAAGAGCAGAAAGTAGTAAACAAGTAAGTGATGTAAAAGCCTTGACGTAAGGAAAAATAAGTAGTAATTTTGAAATGAACGATGTCAAGGAGAGATAGAGAAAATAATTACGCTTTGATAAGTTTTTTAAACTTTTGAATAGATTTCGCACTTTTAATATGCAGCGGCAAGGAGTTCTAAAGACGAACAACTTCAAAAGAAAAGGGTTTAGAATAGAAGGAAGTTTTAAGGTGAGGTTTTTATCATAGCGAAGAGAGCGACAGTGAGTGTCACCAACAAACTCAAACCGCTCTTTTAGGTAAACAGGGGAAGTCGGATTGAATAGAACACATCATCACCATCATCATTGATAGAACACAGTATAAAAGAAAAAGAATGTGAGTAGTCCCGCGAAGACGAATCGAAATCCACTTGAATTTTTTGCGAAATTCGGAAACATGGTCACATTTTTGGAATCTAAATATGAACCGTATACAAAGGTTTTGAATACGCTCAAGTATATAAAACTTAAATTCCTCATTTAAATTGAGATAACACGTGTCAGCATAATCGAGAATGGACAAAAGGAGTGATTGTGCAAACGCAATTTTAGTTGGTATGGGTAGGAAATTCTATCTACGGAGAGATCCCATCGACAGACACCCTTCTGCTCACCTGGCTTACTTGTGGAGCCCAAGATACAAATTTGTCAAAAGTAACACCTAGATTTTTAACGGTGTCTAAATATATATGGCATGGATATCCCATCTATAACAACCAGCTTGAGTAGGAAAATCTATAAGAGTAACCAGTTTTTGACTGCCTATTATTATTGCTTTTGTTTTGATGATTGATTGATGGATTTACTTTTAGACCAAATAACTTATTCCAATCCACAGTTAAGTCTATAGTTTTGGGTAAACCTACTAATTTGACATGCACATATAATTCGAGATCATCTGTATTCAAGTGCTGGCGAGAAAATATTTGGAGCGTTATCGAACTTATGAAGATTGAAAGAGGAGAGAAGACAGCATGCGACCTTGTGGTACACCGGCATTGATCGTACACCAGGAGGAGAACGAATCATCAACATATGTCCATTGCCGGCGACCAAGGAAGTAACTATGAAACCAGACAATCAATATGTTAAGAGAAGCTAAGATAGATAAGAGGAGATCGAAACTGATATTGTTAAATGCATAGCTAAAGTCGAGTAAGGTCAACACTGTTACTTGCTGTTTGTCCATACCAAGACGAATATCCTCGGTAATCGTGACAGTAGTCGTACTATAACTAGCACGGAAACCGGATTGAAATAGACAGAACAAACTTAACCTAGATAAGAAGAGGCTCAATTGTCGATGAGACAAACGCTAACTAACGCAATACGCTCAAAAAATTTTGAAAGGAATGGTATTATGGATATGGGTTGGTAGACAGGGAAACTGGAGGGATTTTCTTTTATGGGTACAGAAGTAATCTGGGCGTTTTCAGGAAGAAGGAAAATTTCCGGACAAAATGGAGTAATTGAAGATGGGTTAACAGGAGTCAAGCTATGGATAATAGGAATGAACATTTCACGACTAATTCGGTCTGTAGCAATAGCTTCAGAATTGACCTCAACAATTCTTAACATCACTATCAATGATTTGACTAAAAATATACGCAGGATTGTCAGATTTAGGTAAAGCTCAAATTTGATTTTAAGTTCGTACTTTTGTAACATCATCTATGGCACAAGAAGAAGAGAAATGGGTTAAACTATAGACATCCGGTACTCGCGTATGCGGGAGGGTTCAGGGGAAGCCACCCTACCCCTTGTGGAAATGTATAGTTTATGAGTAAAAATTTTATTTGTAAAATCATATTCTCACTTTTTTACAGAGAAATATTGACACAAAGTTACTTCTGCGACGGCTTCGGCGCTGCGGGAAGTGCAGCCCCTTCGCTCTTGCGTAGCAAATCACAGGCACCCATGCTCTCTCTCCCTACGCGTCTACGGCTTACAAAAACACTCTAGGGGTAGGGAAGACAAGACTACGTGGATTCGGGGTATTCTGATTCAGTTTTAGTACAGATTCGATCTATCTTATCTAAAGAATAGAATAGAATAATTTTGTATTCAATATAGATCACATGTGTAATTCTTATTGAAAGTCATTTCTTACTTTACCACTGGTTCGAAAAAAAACCTCTGTCGTGGGAAGAACCAACAAGAAACCCAGCGGGACTTTTTTTTAAAAGCATATTTTACAATAATGGTTGGTACAAAATTTATTTTAGAAACAGCTTGGAAGCCACCACCTCATTCCCAGGGGTTATTATCAACCTTATATTCATTTATACTATAATAACCCTTTTTATACAGTTTCAACTTAACAAAACATTTAAACTTGGTAATAGAGAGAGCCTGTACACTTTCCGGGACCTTGTTGTAATAGCGTATACATTGCCCCAAGAATGAATTACTTAGTTCCTAGTGTTTACAGAATGTATATCATTTTTTTTACTAAAACTACCTTTGTTTTTGTGAACATACATTAAATTTTCGTAAATATACTGAGAGGACAAAGTTAATATATTTATTTCTTTAAATTTATCTCTAAGAGACTCTCTCGGTTTTAGGTTGTAAATAGCTCTAATGGCCCTCTTTGTAAATCAAAAATAGTTTCTGAATCAGCTGCATTTCCCCATAGCAAAATCCTATTATGC